CTGCTCCCTGCCTCCCAGCTCCCCCGCCCCCACCCCACCCCCAGGCCACAGCCCTGTCAAGCACCATCTTGGTCCCTGGCAGCTCAAAGGCCATTCAGCTCCACAGGCCTGCTCTGGGGCCTCCTTCCCACCCACCCCGTCCCCAGCTTCAGCAGTGGGTCAACGTCACACACTTCTGCCCTCAGCTTTCCCTGCGTGCTGTGTGAGGGTTCTGGAATCCCAGCTGTGCTGACCCCTTCACCAGGACCTTGCAGGGCCTTCCCCAGCAGGTGCTCTGCCTGGTCGGCCAGCTGGGAGCCCTTCAGAGTCTCCCCACAGGGCCAGGCCAGGCCTGCCCCCTCGGACTGAGAAGACGGGCCTGGAAGTTCACCCCACACCCACCCTGGGCCATCTGCAGGTTTACATGAGAGGCAGGGCAGGAATCCAGCCCTAACTTCCCTGGAAACCAGAATATGGAGAAGGAGGAAGCAGGGCAGAGCCCTCTAGAATGTCTTCCCGCACTCACACCGCCGGCAGGCTTGGGAATGAGTAAGCGGTGCTCACCACCTCCCAAGAAACCGTCCCTCCACTCCTCTCACAGAATCACTCACCTAAGAGTGCCGTCAGGGGGATCTGACCCACTGCAGCCCGAGCTTGCATTGGCTACATCAGCACCCCTTCAGTGGCCCCTGAGCAGCTAGGGCTGAGTGCTGAGATATCGGGTGTTTCCCCCTCCCTGGAGGAGATGGATCTGCAGACAGATTTGTGGGTGAGTGGGTGGATGGATGCGTAGGTGTGTGGGTGGGTGGATGGATGGATAGATGGATGGTTGGGTGGATGGATGGATGGGTGGGAAAATGAGTGGCCAGGTATGTGAGTGGATGCATGGGCTAGTTGCAGACTGGCCCAGGAGTAACTACTCCTCAAAGGAATTTTCTAAATCTCTGAAATGTGAGGACCTGGCACCCCCCAGAGGCCAGAGTCTCTAACTACCCATCATCCCTAAAGCCTTGAGCACCAAGTCTTGAGAAGCAGGGACATGGACCTCAATAAAGTTAGGGGTTCTAGGAAATAAAAAACCTTGGGTCCAGTGCTGGCTCTTCCCCTGACTTACTCTGGGACCTTGGGAAGTTTCAACCTTCTGAGGCTCAATTTTCTCATCTGGATGCCTGTGCTGGTAAGTGGTTTAAACAAAATTATGTGTGGAAAGTGTCTGCAAGGGTTACCTGGCACATATCAGGTGCTCACAGGAGGTAATTTCCTTCCCAGAGGCGGCCCTAGGACACGCATGCACCCACACACACGCCCGAGTACACACACACACACACACACACACACACACACACTCACCCCCAGCCCAGTACAGAAGAGGAACAGAGAGTGAGACCCTAGGCCAGATCAGACAGGAGAGGCAGATGGGCACACATTTAATCTACAGGAGCTCCAGGCTCCGGCAGAACTGGCCCAGCCTCGGGGGCCCGGGGCTCAGGGAGCGGGGACTCACACAAGAGCCCTGAGACCTTCTGGGGCTCAGCCTCCTGGGCCTGGGCCAGCTGGGCTGTGTGCTCAAAGGCAGCCTGCTGCAGGTGGGAGGCGAGGCAGGTGGTCCAGGTGACAAGGTAGGCCAGGTGCCAGGAGGTGAGTTCTGCCATGCTCTCCACACCGCAGTGCAGACGCTTCAGCAGCGCCGGTGTCCCCAGCACCACGCGGTTCTCCAGCAGAGCCTGGGGCTGGGGCGGGGGCAGGGCAGGTGGATGGGCAGGTGACGGCCAGGAGCTCACACGCTGTCCTACCTGCTGCCAGCCTCCGCCCCCGCTCAACCCAGGCCCAGTGCCCCAGGCCTGCCCTCCCAAGCCTGTCCCACACCCACCCCACCCACCTTCCTGGGCAGCTGGCCCAGGCTGCAGCAGTGGGCTTTCTGGCACAGTCTCCAGGTCGGCAGTAGCAGCAGCCCGGCAGCCAGCATCAGGCCGTGCAGATATGACAAGAGCAGGTCTGTCCAGGTGGCCGCAGAGAGGCCCAACTGCTCCCAGGCACCCAGCTGCTTCGGGGTCAGGCCCGAGGCCCGGGCACAGCCCAGCACGCCTGCCCACACCAGCCTGGGCGCCCGACGCACCAGCCACACAGGGACTGTCAATGCAACCTGTAGAACCCGGCCCACGGGGCAGGCTGAGATCTTGGCGGGTGGGTGGGACCCCTGGGCCTCCTGGGTCAGCCCTGACAGCCAGTGGTTAAAGAGGTGGTCTTGAGGGGCAGGAAATTGCAGAGGTGGGCCCAGTTCTGGGCCGGCTGCAGGAGGAGGGGACAATCACCACCCGTTGCCACTTCACCTGCAGCAGGAGCCATCCCTGTCCCAAGTTTTATTGTGGGGGTGGGGATGCCAGGCCACCCTGGGCCGGGCCCTCCCCCCTCAATCCCCCCTGCCAAGAATGATCTTTATCTGTCACTTGGAAGGACTCCATTCTCAGGAGGGAGCTTTAGAGGTGTTTCATATTATACTTGATTTTCTTTCCTTTGGGTTGTTTTTGTTTGTTTGTTTCGTGTTTTGCATTTTGTTTTTGTTAGCACTAGGCAGCTTGCGGGATCTTAGTTCTCTGACCAGGGATCGAACCCAGGCTGATGGCAGTGAAAGCGTTGAGTCCTAACAGCTGGACCACCGAGTAATTCCCTTTCCTTTGGGTTTAAATGGTTATTTACAAACCTCCAGACTGAAGGAGGTTGATTTATTATCATCTTCATCATTATATAAGGAATGACGATCGCCCTCAGCCCTCTAATCCTGCAGGATTTGAACCCAGGACATTTCCTTCTCCCAGGCACCTGGAATTCCTTCTTATCAGTTGCCTCTTGGTGTCATGAGGGCAGCTGGGGACAAAGGCAGTGCCATTAGGGGTAGACAGATGTGAGGCACAGGGACAGTGACAGAATGAATGACTGACTTACTGTGAGGGGTGAGAGGCGGGGGAACCCAAGAAGATGTCCAGATTCCTGTCCTGGGTGACAAGGTAGATGTGATGTCTCCCATCCACTGGGAGAAAGACTGGGCCTGGATGGGGAAAGAGGCTGGAAATGAGACTCACTGGAGTCCTGGAGCTGAACAGCCCCTCATCAGAGCCCTAAAGCCTCTAGCCCCGAAGCATCGCCAACCCACCAATCCGGACCCCACATGCTCCGGTCCAGAGGACCACCTGGAGCCCTAGGGGACAGTGTGGAAGGCAGTCACCCGGGGTTGGCTGTGTGCCCCACTGTGGGCGGGATCAGCAGAGCCAAGGGGGTGGAGCAATGCTGAGAAAGGAAGGAGGTCCAGGGGTCCAGCTAGGAGGGGAATTAAGATGGAAACAGGAGCTGCACCTCCACCCCTCAGCTCGTGAGGCAGAAACCAGGAAGGAGAGAAACCTGTTATATCCCACATGATCCTATAAGATAGGCTACAGGAGAGGAAACAGAGGCTCAAAGAGGTGGAGCAATTTGGCCCAAGTCACACAGCTAAAGAGTAGAGCAGTTGAGATTCCAATCCAACCATGTCTGTCTCTCTACTGCCCTGTGTAATCTCCCCTTTCTCTGCCACAGGAGCAGACCCAGGGGACCCTTTTCTGATAACTCAGCCCACCGAGGAGTTGTGATTTGGAGACGTGACCCCAGTGGTCAGCATTTGCATGTTTGAAAAAGACAGATGGGAAGGACAAAGCTTAACCCACAAGAGTGACCCTCTATAGAGAAAATTCTAGCACTGTGGCTTGCGGGTGGGGCTTCTGAGAACGGTCGGATTACTCCGGGAGGGAGGCAGCCACCTTGTTTCACCTGCGGAGTCCAGCAGCTCTGAGGTGGCCCTCACCCCCTGCCCCCTAAACCCCACTCACCAGTGTGGAGAGCTTCACCACCGCCAACAGAGTCCCCAAGAGGCTGGATCGGACCGGAGGGACGGCCTCCATGTCTGTCCCTCCTACCCCTGGGAGAGTCAGGGTGACCTCACAGATACTGCAGGGTGGGAGCCAAGTTACCATGGGGACCCAGCTGCCGCAAAAGGCTGTCCTTTACCTGCCTCTCGTCCCATTGCTGAACGGAAACTGGGGTATTTGTCTTCCACATCCTGTCGACTTCCTAACTGGAGACTGCTCCCAGGGACATCAACTCCACGAACCTCCCGTCCACCCAGCATGGGCGGCCAAGGCAGCATAAGGGCGCTGTGCCTTCCCACGTCCTTCCAAATCCCGAAGGAGCAAAGGCCTGGGATATAGAAATCTTCACCCCCAGGGCCTCAGGTGACAAAATGTTTGGAGGCAGATGGAAGCCTCAGCCACCCAAATCTGAAATCTCCTACCTAACCCTCCCCACCCTGATCCATCCTTCTTGCATTTTGCTAAAGGTTGGTCCCCAGTCACAGAAGCAGAGAACTGCGGCTACGATATTAGTGTTGTGTCAGTGGGTTCTGAGATTCAGTTAGAGGAGGGCGGGAGAGAGAAAATGTGCCCACAAAAGGTCTCAGAGGATCCTAGAGAGAGGCATTCTCAGAGGAAAAGGGGGCACTTGGCTGAATGAAACCCCTCAGGTCCACAGGCTGCCTGGAGCATCTCAGAGAGGTTTCTGGAGCTATGGATCAGAGTCAAAGGCTTAGAAATCTGGGAGAATCCAGAACCTTGATCACAGCGTTTCCTGCATTGTTTTCCTGTCTGGGTCCCAGCAGATGCCCCAAGATGCTGCAAGATGAGGCTCTCACACCTTTTAGAAATTTTTTAAAGACGCCCTCTGGTGGCAGGATCCTGTGAGTGCAGGGCACCGTGAGAAGAGGGCCTCTCTGCCCTGGCACAGAGCGCGATTTCAGTCTCACTACCCTCCTCGGCCAGCACCCATGTGCAGGATACGACCCGCCCAGCTGTACATGGCAACCTGCCATAATGAGTCCCTGGAAGGTCAAAGACAACCTTTGCCCAGGGCAAGTCCCGTTCACCCATTTGTTTCCTCCCCACGGGGCAACGGCAGGGGCCCAGAGGGTAGAACGTGCAAAGTCCCCCCACTCTGTCCTCTGCCCTTGCCCCTCCCCTACCCACCCTCTATGTCTCCAACACTATGTCCCTGAGGGGTCGCTGAGGCTTCAGAAAGGTCACCTTGAGCTAAGTTTTGAAGGTTGGGTAGGAGTTTTCCAGAGAAGAAAGTATGAAGGATGGTCCGGGCAGAGGGAACAGCACGATTCCAACAATTCAGTATTACTAGAGCATAAAGTAGGAGGTGGGAGGAGCACGAGGTAGATGGTGAGGTCGGCAAGGACCACATAGGTCATAGAATATTCTATCAAATGATAGGAGCCATCGAAAAGCCAAGGCAGCAAGGCACTGGACATCAATGGGGGCTTTACAACAGTCCCTCCAGCTGCATGAGGAGGCTAGACTAGGGCAGAGAAGGGCTCTTGGCGGGGAAAGGGGGAGATCTGATAGGAACCCACAACAACAAGCTCTCCAGGCACGAGATGATGGCAGCCAGGACGGGGGCTGAAGTGGCCAGATGCCAGAAACATGTGGAAGGTGGAACTGACAGAGTTAGAAGCTGTCAAGAATGGTGAAAGGTCCAAGATGGTACCCTACTTGCAAGCTACCAGTCGGCCTGCTGGGGTTTCTTGGGTGCTGGTAGAAGGCACAAGACTCATGGGTCAGAGAGGATGGACAATGTATTACAGCACTAGCAGTAAACTGGAGCATAAGTATTTTGCTTTGGCTCTTTGAGTCCCAAATCCCACAGGGTGACATGAAAAGGGGCAGATGGTACCTGTACACTGAGTGGGTGAATCACAGAAGAGGAACCCTGAGCTTAGGGAACCCCAATCTTTTCTGATGGGCAATAAGCAAGCCTGCCCTTTGCTCCTGAGAGAGACATTATTTTTATCACGCTGGACAGTGCCTGTGCTTTGAGAAGAATTTACATATTCCACCAATTCCTCTGCAGAAACACAGGAGACCTGTGGGGAATTGTTTCCCAACAGAAGTTTGAGGAAAGAGAGGTAAAGCGAGGCAGGGGTCAGGGGTTCCTCCTCAGAAGGCTTGGGCAAAGGGTAGATGGAGGTACTGCCCACTAAGGTGGGGGTTGGAGGAGGAGCGGGTTTGGGGAAGAGCCTGATTGCTGGGAGTCAGAATGATGGGGGCTGAAACTAGCATTTGCAATTTGTTTTCCATCCTGTCTCTCCTCCCCTCTTTGGCTTGCCCCCCACCATGACCCCTGTTAAAAAGAAACAACAGGCCCCAAATGGAGTCACTTGTGCTAAGCCCCTCCAGGACTTAATATTTAACCTAATTGCAATTTCAGCCCCCAGGAGTGGAATTTTAAGCCAATCCATCTGGAATTTCCTGGTCAGCACTAATGAGGTAATCTGCCTAAGACTCCCTGCCTTCCTCTATGGGAAGGTGACCTGGCTCAAAATAATCCACCTTCTTAATTTCCTTGTCCCGCCCTCCTTCTGCCTATGAAAGCCTTCCGTTTTGTATAGCTCCTCAGAGCGCTTTTCTACTTGCTAGATGGGATGCTGACTGTTCATGAATTATTGAAAAAAGCCAATTAGATCTTCAAATGTACTCAGTTGAATTTTGGCTTTTAACAGATTTGGTGGCAGTGGTGGGATCCAAAGTGAACTTCTGATGGCTTTTGGGGACAATGAGAACGACAAGTGTGGTACCCGCACACCCCTTTTTGAGTTCACTGTCTTTCTCACCATTTCTAAAGCCAGGGGAAGTTCCTCATGACTGTGAGCTCTGCTCTCTTTGCGTCAAGCTCCTGGTCTAATTGGCTTTCCAGTTAGTTCCCCATTTGTTTGGAAACCCCAGCCCTTGATTCTGTCCCCAGATTCCATGTTGAGAACTGCTGGTGATTTAGTCTGCAGTTTCCCATTTGTTTGAAATCTTTCCCCAAATTCCACATTGGGAACTGCCATGGCTACAGTAGTTCCTCCATCTGTTTGGAATCAGGCTGTCGTCTTCATTTGCTGAGGTCTGCTGGTTCAATGCTTTCCCCCAGTCCAAAGTTCCCCAGGAATTGTTGGTGGTTACCAGCTGGAGTTGGACTGGGTCCAACTTGAGCTGGACTGGGTCCAGTACAGACTATTGCTAACAGGAATCTCAGAAGCCAAAAAGTTGCAAAAATTGGTGGGTGCTCTGCAAACACTGGAGACATCCAAATCAAATTGGCTAGGAAGAGAAGTACCTAGCATCAAAGTAGACTGTTTCCACTCAGGACACTGGATCAAGATTTTATACTTTAACTAAACATGAAACTCTCTCTTCTCCCTCTCCTTTACCCTGGCATTGGCCTGGAAAGATAATGTCATCAGCCGTATCTCCCAGGCCATTGCTAGGGGGTGTAAGCTCTGGAATTTAGAACAATTTTTTATTTCAGGCTAGAAGATTCTCACCCCATATGCACTAAAAACCTGAATGACCCCTGGCTTAGGAGTAAATCCAATGGGAGTATGATCAGAAACCTCTCCTTAACTCTTGAAACATTGCCGATTCCGTTGCTAAGACACTAGCTACCCAGCAAAGATCCTTAGACTCTCTGGCCAAAGTTGTTCTTTATAACAGGATTATCTTTTAGCTGAGCTGTTCTGTGGCCAACACCACCTGCTGTACCTAGAATGAACACTTCTGGGGAAGCTGAAACTCAATTACATAAGATCACTGAGCAAACGACTTGGCTTAAAAAGGTGACTCCTTCAATGGAGTCTTTCTTTGATTAATTTGATTTTGATTGGTTTGGGTCTTGGAGACCCATGGCTCCCAAGTGCACTCTTAACATTGGGAATTATCCCACTTATAGTTATAATAATATCCCTGGTGCATTTCATTCTCTCTAAAGCTTTAAATGCATATTTACAGCTGCTAATCACCAAGCAAATCTCCCTAAGACTGGACCTCAAAAAAGGAACAAAGAGAATGATTGACTAAAAAATTGTGAGTCTGGAGTTGTGCAACCTGTGAATACTGCATAGATTCAGCAACAAAGCATCACCAAAAACTGAGAACTACAGAGCAGTAGGTGAGTGGTACTAACGCTTAAAATTTTGATCACATCTCTCAGTTATGCTGAGAGTTTGATCAAAGCAGGGGGAGTTGTTAGAAAGAAACTACAGGCCCAAAATGGAGTCACTTGTGCTAAGCCCCACCAAGACTTAATACCTAACCTAATTGCAATTTCAGCCTCTCTCAGGAGTTTTAAACCAATTAGTCTGGAATTACCTGGTCAACACCAGTGAGGTAATCTGCCTAAGACCCCCTGCCTTCCCCTAAGGGAAGATGACCCTGCCTAAATTAATCCACTGTCTTTACTTTCTTGCCCCACCCTCCTTCTGCCTGTAAAAGCCTTCCATTTTGTACAGCTCCTCAGAGCACCTATCTACTTGCTAGGTGGGTTGCTACCCTACTCATGAATTTTTGAATAAGGCCAATTAGATCTTCAATTTACTTAGCTGACTTTTGGTTTTTTAACACTTGGCATCACCATACTCAGAATTCCACTGTCACTAAGGCTGAGTTGATCATCCTTTACATCATCTTGACCAAACTCCCTGGACCATGTGGTCCAGGCAGGAGCTGGAGACCTCATTCTGCCCCACTGCCCCCAGGACTGAACCTCAAGGTACCTCTCAAGCTCCTTTAGGATGCCAGGCCCGGGCCTCAGTCTCAGCTCCAATCAACTGTTCCCCACCCTCACCAGGGCCCTCATCTTGGTCCCCAAGCTAGATTATAGCAAGGCTTCTCCGCAGCTCTCAGACCACAGGAGGGAGGAACACAGAGGGCTGGAAATCTAGTAACAGAGGTCAGAGATCGCCCCTGGAGTGTAAAACCAACACAGGACTTCCTCCTAACCTAGCTCAGGGAAGGGCAGTCCCAGCCATGCCGTCCCACGGGCCAGAAACCCCAGAGTCAGAGTCACCCCATCACCTTCCCTCCTG